AAGCCTGTTACAACAGAGGTTCAGCAGCAAGGCTATCCCTTTCCAGACGAGGCCATGCCTTCACTCGAAGCTGGGGAAGGTTCGGATTGTCCAGGATATATGAGGAATGAATCTTCACGACAGGCAAGTACTGCAGACCGGCCAAATCGACAGGAAAGATGTTGTACAAGAATTGTCGAGAAAAGATTGCCAAGATCCTCTTGCCGATCCTGCCACCCGTCCCCGAGCATCTCCAGCCCATCGAGCAGCGCCTGATCGCCATGAGCCGAATCTCCCAAGTGTTGCTCGACAAGCTACCTTCGGGCGGCCCAAGCGCTCAATGGGGCCGAATGTATGCAGTGCTGGTGGACGACCCCTTCATCTGCGATGTCCTGCCACTTGAGGAAGATGGTACCGTCCTGGTGGAAGGAGTGCAGGGCAAGACCACTTCCCCAGCTCGTCTCGACTGCCTACACAAGGCCTTAGCGAAAACGCAGCACCGCCTCTACCAGGCAAACCCGGCAGTGGACAGAGCCTTGGCAAGAATGGAAAGCATCCTGGCTGGAAAAGCGCAGCCATGCACAAGCGCGGCAGCAATGACAGCCCACGAAACCTCCCAAGAGCGCCAAACGGGGGAGTCCGGTGGCTCACACTCCTCGGCCTTGGGGGGCGAAGTGCAACACTCGGAAGACGCAGTGGCCTCTGTTGAAACGATGGAAGAGAAGGAAGACAAGCTGCAGATGACGTGCCTGATCCCCAAAGAGCTGAAAGCGCCCAGAGCGGAAACCGTGGAGCTACAGAAACCCAGGGGCACGGCGGAGCTCACTGACGACATGGACGTGAAGTTCTTCCCACGCCTATTTTCCACGGGCACAGGCGGATGGCAGAATGGATATGGCAGCTTCTCCCAATACGCTCGCAAGCGTCTTCTCGGCTCGGACGCGCGTTTCGAGTCGTCACCGGCCTACATCATGTGGCTTCTTGAAATGCACCTGAAGAAGCGTCTCTCGGGCAACATCAACGTGAGGATCGGCAACCAGCAGGTTCCAGGTGGGAAGACCAAGTACCAAGAGGGCAAAGGTCAGGTGTTTACAGCCCTGAGGGACATCCCCGGGACGAGCTCATACGTCTACGCAAAGAAGAACGTTGCGCTGAACATGTATGAGCAATTGGGAGTGCCCAATTTTTTCATGATGCTCTGCTGTCATGACCGGCAACCCGACATCCTGATCGCAGTCATCACAGCCCGGCTGCTGCGGCTGCATCCTGAGAGGCCGCCGCAAGAGCTTGAGCGCCAAGCCGCGGAGATAGTGCAGTGCTATCAAACCGACGTGAAGTTCACGTGGGACGGCCTGTCACCAAACCAGCTCTGCAATCAGCACCCTGCCATCGTAGCGCGACAGTTCATGCACCAGCTGACCCAGTTGATGCATTGGCTATCTGCCGAGCACGACGCCAAGACTTCACGAGGATGCAGATGCCGAGGATGAGCCGGAGAGAACGCCGCGCAAAGCAGAGGATGATTTCGTCCAGGCGCCAGCTACAGACTCTGCAGGCCAGCACCGCGGGGTCCGCAAGGAGCGCCCGCCGTTCAAGGTCGTGGACTACCTCATCCGCATCGAGTGGCAAAAGAGGGGCTATCCGCATGCTCATATCCTGCTCTGGGTGCTGGAATGGGAGAAGCCCAATCAAAAGGCGAAGGCCCCTTCCGAAAACGAGGAGACAGAAGCAAAGTCGCAAGGTCCCGATTGGTCGGATCAGGAGGCCATGGACAATTTCACCCCCACGTGTGCTGAGGATTGGAGCGATAAGTATATCGTCACCAAAAGTCCGGGCATCTGGCGCAAGCCCACGAAAGTTTCGCTCCGGGACAATGAGCTCAACGCAAAATTGGCCGAATTCCTGGTGCACAAGCACACCGAATATTGCGGCATCAAGACGGACGGCGCTTGCCGTTTTGGATTTCCGCACGGCCTAGAAGAGCGGACCAGGCGCAGAAGCTCTCAGGAGAAGTACGCCAATAGCCGCTGGAAAAGCAGCCTCGCCACGAGACGGGTAGAGTCCGACAAGATGGGCCAGTACAACATCAAGATCCTCCGGCGGTGGCGGGCCAGCATGGACCTCCAAGTGATCTGCGAGTTGACAAGCGCCAGC